CAGTTTATCCCTAACAAATAGCTTGAAACTCAATAATAAAAATCTACTCTGTAAATCACTGAAACCACAGCAAGTGATATTAAGGAATAAAACGCACAGGTCTTTTAATGTTGAAGCTTCAAGTGGAACGCTGAGAATTAATTTGAGTTGCATACTAAGTTTAAGATTTTAGGCATCAAATAGAAATATGTTTCTCCATTACTCTTTTTTCTGGAAATGCTGAAATAAAATCAAAGATGTGAGAATATTGTCTCATGGCTTTGTCAACCATGCATCAGGCCAAAGATTATGAGAAAGAAATGGGGTTCCACAGCCTTCTTGTGTTCTTTTTCCTCCTTTTGGTTTTCACTCAGATTATATCTTTAAATAGTAGAAAAGCTGCAGGCATAATGCTCTCCAAATACTGATGCATATTAGATTTACCATCTTCCATATCTGTATTTATTTATTAGCTGCTTTATTTCTGTAAGGATACACTGAAACATTAGATGGTAGCTAACGAATATCTATTTTCTTCACTTATTTATTGTCTAATTTCTCTATTTTAACATAATCTGTAATTATAGTGTGCATTTACTTTTGTAGACTTTTTGTGTGGGGGGGGTGTATGTGTGTGTGCACTTAAAATACCTCTTCTTTTTCTTTTTCTTTTTTTTTCATTTCACTTTACAGATTCCATGAAAACTAGGAACTCTCCCTGCCTTTTCCTGTTGACTTCCTCAAACAATTTAGCAGATATTTATTGACTATTTTATACCCAGCCTTAGATCGTGGGGGTACAGTATGAACATGATAGAAAAAAAAAAAAAAAAAAAAAAAAAAAAAAAAAAAAAACAAAAGAACAAACAAAAGAAAAAACCCACTGCCCTTGTGAGTTTGCATTTTCGAGGGAAGAGAAAGATAAGAGGCAAATGACTAAAATTTGTAACCCCTTAAATGATGATAAGTATGGGTTTCTCCTGATATCCAAAAGCAGAGTGCTCTTACTGAAAACTTTCATAAGCTGAAACTGTATAAAGCAAAGAAGCGTTTACCATTAATTTATATGGAACAATATTTGAGCATTCCCAGACCCCACAAATAATCTCTCTTAGTATTTTCTGGTGTCTCAGGGTGCATCTTGCCAACAGATGCACAGAATAAATCAAGATAAAGCCCAGATGCTCACAGACTAAGTTCAAAGCTATGGTGGCTTGATGCTGAGATGCTGAGTGCAGTTCCCTGGAAGGAGCTTGGCGGGGCCATGTCGCTGCTCTCCAGGGTGCACGCTGCCTCTATAAGGGCTTGCTGCAAAGCAAACGCTGATTGGTATTTTCATTTTTCACCTTTTTATGTAAAAGTGAAAATCCTCTGGATTTCTGCAGGTTGGCAAAAACAGGTACTAACGTAGGTCTTTTGTAAAAGCAAAGTGTTGTAATGCGAACTTTTGAAAAGCTGGAACTTTTGAAAAGCCTGTACTGGGAGAAAAGGAAGGCAGGAAGAAGGAAAGAGCATGCTGGGGGTGAGTGGGCGATGCATTTTATTTCTTATTTTTATTACTTTGAAAGAGAGAGAGAAAGTGTGCAGTAGCAGGGGAGGGGCAAAAAGAGAGGGAGACAGAGAGTCCTAAGCAGGCTCCACACTGTCAGTACAGAGTCTGATGCAGGGCTCAAACCCGCAAACCGTGAGATCATGACCTGAGCTGAAATCAAGAGTCATTAACGGAATGAGGCACCCAGGTGCCCCAGGAGACGCACTTTAAAAAAAGGGATCAGGGAAGATGTCCCTGATAACATCATGTGGAGGAGAATATTTGTGGCACTGTGCTCAGGCAGCAGCCAGAGGCCAGCACTTCTGGAATAAGGTGGGGAGTGAGGGAGTGGACTTCAGTAGGGCAGCCACAGAGCCAGCACATGTAGGGTCTCTTAGGCCATGGAGGGGCTTGACTTTTCCATTGAGTGACAGAAAAAGTGACTGGAGGTCTTGGAGTCAGAGAGCAAATATGATCCTGATTTAGTTTTGAAAGTACAGTTGACCCTTGAATAATGTGGATTTGAAGTCCGCGGATCTACTTATATGTGGATTTTTTCTAATAAATACGGTCCAGTACTGTAAATTTATTTTCTCTTCCTTATAAATTTTCTTGATAACGTTTTTCTCTAGTTTATTGTAAGGGTACAGTATATAATACATATAACCTCAAAGTATTCATGGACTGTTTATATTACCAATAAGTCTTCCAGTCAGCAGTAGGCTATTAGTAATTAAGTTTTGGGGTAGTCAAGTTTCATACAGATTTTTTACTACGAGGGGAGATCTGCACCCCTGTCGTCCACATGGTTCAAGGGTCAGCTGTATACTGGTAAGAAGACCAGAATTCAACCTTCTAGAGGCTAAGCCACTTTATTTTGCTTCTGCATCAAATTAACTGTGGCTTTCTGGATTGATCCTGGCGCATATGTAATTTCTGCTGGTTGCTCATGCCCCACTGTACCATCTTCACGGTATTGTCTACCCACGTATGAGGTGTAGTATTGGTGAGACCCTGATGCATTATGGGCAAGAATGTTGTAACTTGTAGGATAGATGAGAGTTAAGGGTTTTCTGTACTTCAGTTCACGTTAATGACCAAGATAAGCTTAGGAAAGTTTCAGAGACATTTTATGTTGTTAAAATAAATGTGCTATTGTTGTTGCTTCTGATCCAGTAAAGCACACCACAGATTACTAAAGTCAGAAGGAGGAGCACTTGATATTCAAAGTATAGTATGTATATGGAATCTAAAGTCTGTTTTCAGAGTAGCATTTTCTGTGGCAAAGGAAACGTCCATCTTATTAGTATTTTTTAATATAAATGCATGTGTGTGATAGCTGTTATTAATGTGCATCTTATATGTGCAAGGCACAGAGTGAGAGGTTTAATATTAATCTTGATAGATGTTCATATTACTTAGCCTCATGGTGACCCTGCAAGATATGTTTTTTTTTTTAAAGCTCCATTTCATATAGGAATACAAAGATTCAGTGATGAGATACCTTGCCC